CCCCCCCCCCCCCATCCCGCACCTTCGATTCTTCATACCACCAGACTGCGTCAAACACGGGAATGATCAATCCGCGCTCGCCACCGAAGAAGCAAACGGTTACCTAGCGCACTCAACAGAGGCTTTCCTCACACGACCAAAAAACAAAAAAAGCAGAGCGTAGGGTGTCTCCCCCGTCTTGTCGTTCTACCCTAAACAAGCCAAGGCGTTGTTTTTTACAAGACGAGAAAAAAGTCCGATGGAGAAAACCGTTCAGCAGACAACGATAGCAGCAAGCACTGTGTATGCGAACGTCAATCGCGAACCAACAGCAGCACGCTCGCCAGCCCATAGAGCGAGGAGAAGTCGACCTCGCTTCCCGCACCAAGCAGCCAACGCGAGAAGAGCACCGCAGCGCGCAAGGCTCGGGCGTCAGGACTTCTTCCTCTGTGGGCCCTTTAGGCGACAAAACAAAGGCATCGGTTTGAGTTGGACGAGGGAGTTGACACGGGCGGGGCTAGTTAGTAGGCTGGTTGGTCTGGGGACAACAAGGAGGGACGAGACTGGTGAGACGGAGCACAGACTACCCACACCGCCTTTTTTATGGGAGCAGAAAGCGGCGAGAAAACCTAAAGTTCGCAAACTTTTCTCGCAACTTTTCTCATGTACGCTATTCATGGGAGCAAAAGGTTGCGCCTAAAGTATGGAAAATTTTGCTTTTGACAATGATCGCGCGATCTGGAGCAACAGGTTGCAATTTTTTCTCGCTACAAAAGTGTCGAACAACAGTTTCGCGGCGAGACTTCCGCCAATCCACGTCAAGCACCTGCCCCTACTACACACGTAGGCCCTCTCCCGCCACACACACACCCACGGTCCACGTGATAGATGATTGGCCAAGTCAGAATGCTGAAGCTTTAGCTTCAGTCTCATCGTTCGATATCCGTGGGTGGGTGGAACTGTCATTCGCATCCCCCACCCCTTGCCCGACCCAGTCTATAATGCTGATCTCGAGCTACAGTGCAAATCTCGTGGCGCCTCGAGTACGGTTCGGTGTGGAATCGCAAATCATGAGCCGTCCCCGAGTTTGAGCAGCTTCCGCCTCCTGTGGCCGGCAAGAGTTGGCCTTGACTGTTCCTTGCCTGTTTCGCCATGGAAACGGCCGGTTGAACAGCGAAAGAGGGTCCTGCGTGCTGCGCGCCACATTTTTTTTTTTTTGCGTTTGGTCTTGAGTGACCGTTGTGCACATGCGGCGGCTGCTGCCGCGGTTGCTGCTGTTATGCTCGGAATGTGCTGCAATGGTCGCAGGGTTATCGTAGTCAGGATTGACAACAGTCTGCTCGTTCGTGTAGCGGTAGCAGAGCGCATCTATCGCGACGGCAAGCGCATTGAGACAATAGTTCGTCCGCCGTGCTTCTAGTTACACAGATAGCCGTGTTCTTCCATGCTGTCACTTCATACCACAAGAATAGAGAAAGTCTCCACAGTTCGGAAAATGCGGCTGCTGCTGTACGCAGAGGTTTCTACTGGAAATGCTCGGAAATGTGGTGCACTGGTCGTAAGGTTATCGTTGTCAAGTTTGACAACAGTGTGCTCGTCCGTGTAGCGGTAGCGGTGCGCATCTATCGCCACGGCAAGCGAATTGAGATAATAGTTCGTCCGTTGTACTTCTAGTCTACACAGATAGTCGTGTTCTTCTTTGTGGCCACTTCATACAATACGGGCCCGCAGATAAGAAACGTCAAATTCGGGTCGAGCCTCAATCCCTTATTTTGGGTCCACGGACCAGCCGAAGTCGTCCGTTTTCTTAAAAGGCATTTCTCATTCCTTTGGAACGTCCCAATGCTGATATTTCGTAGATTTTCGATTGGCTAAATAATACAACACAACCAACAATTGATCATCATGCCACTTAACCAGAAAGAAAGCTCGGTGTGGCCATTGGTGTGCAAAATAATCACCCTCTCTCCCCCCTACCAAAAAAATGCACTCTTCAGCCAGGTAGGGGAGTGGGAACACGGAAGGAGCAGCAGTGGGACGTTTCTTATTGGGCATGCTCCTCCAGTTACCCCTTGTTTCTTATATCTTGCGGGTATCGCGCCATCATGTTTCTTATTGGGATGTTTCTTGTCTTGTGGCCGAGATTGAGCTGTGTTTCTTAGCACTTTTTTCTTATTTTTCGAAAAAAAAGTTGAGCCTATTTTTCTTAGCAGATTTTTTCTTAACTGCGCGCCCGTACTGTACCAGAAAAAAGACAAAGTCTCCACAGTTCGGAAACGACGACTATTTTCTTTTATTGTGTTTGTTGTTGCTGAGCGCACATCGGCTGTCGCCGTTCGTTACATGTGTTTAAGCCTGCGTGTGCCAGAGGGATGAGAGTGAGTGTCTTCTCGAGAGTTCATGCCTTGTCTTCTCGAGTCTCTCTTCCATTGGTCTACCTCTCTCTGTCGCATTTCGCCGTTAGGGTCCCAACAACATCGAACGTCAACGAACGGCAATCGTTTTTCTTCTTGCGGAGTAGGAGGCTGGCTCCCCGTGTACCCGGCTGCTGCTTGTGAGGCGATGGGCGCCGCCTATTTCCGTCAAGCAATGGGCATGGCCCCTAATGTTCGCTGCATGCAGTGTCAGTGCCTTGTGTGTGACAGCTGCTACCGGTTCAGAGTGGCGACGGGGTTTTTTCGCCGGTGGGGCCCCCAGAATAACGCGAACCGCGACTGGTTCATTGTTTTAGGGTCCCCCACACCCACCCACCCATTAATTTCAGCAGTTTGCGTTGGGGGGATGTTTTTCTTGCCATGTCCATGACGTGGTGCCCCGAGTGAGTATGGTTCGGTAGGGAACCGCAAACCATGACCCCTCCCCGAGTTTGAGCATCAGCTTCCGCCTCCTGTGACGGACAAGAAGACCGGAAATTGTCTCGCCATCCAAACAACAGTTTGCCAGTTGAAAAAAGAGGGTCCGGTCCGCCGAAGATTTTGTTTTTTGTGTTTCCCTGCCGACTATTCGTTAACCTCGGCGACAGCAGTGCAAATAAATCTCATGGCGCCTCAAGTACGGTTCCTTAGGGAATTGCAAATCACGACCCCTCCCCGATTTTGAGTAGCTTCCACCTCGTGCGGCGGAAAAGACCGACGTCAAAGCCTAGAATTTGTCTGTCTGTGTCGCCATGTCACCATCCGCGAACAGCAGTTAGAGAGACATAAAAAAAAGAGGGTCCGCTTCGCCACTAAGAAATCAAACAGCTGGATATGATACTACAATGTATCGGGTATAGTCTAGCTGTGGTTGAGCTTGAGGAATAGGGTCTACGGCAGGATATTCTATGCTTCCTCGCGTAACGATGCGCATCTCCCACGGCAAGCAGAATGAGGTACGTCATCGTGATGTTCTTTCTTCTTGTGACTACACGTTCAAGTTCGCCCGGGCGCTTTTGTTCTTGCCGAGAAAGAGACTAAACTTTTATACGTACCAGTCAGTCCATGTACCCGGCTACTGCATGTGAGGTAGTGGGTGCTGCCCCTGCTGTTTGCTGCGGTACACGGAAAGCTTCCGGTGGGTCAGAGAGGCAAGGACGCCTTGTGTCTTTCACTTGTGTCTTCACTGTGCTCTCATCTACTTATTTGTTTCCTATCGCTGGTGGTCTCTCTTTTGTTATCGCCCTTCGTTCTTGTTTGTAATAAACTGTGAGGATGTAAACTGGCTGTGTCTGACTGTTTCTTAGGGTCCCCGCCCACCCACAACCCACCTGTTTGTCGGTACGATTCGCGGTCTCCAATACGTTCAGCAGTAGTGGTCTACTACAGGACATGCGCTACTACTGCTACGTCCATGGGTGGGTGTAACATAAGAGCCCCGGGGACTGGTGGCCTTCTGACCTGATCGTGCAGAGAGAGGTTCATGCCACCACCACAATACGAACTCTTGTGATATGTCCATGACGGGGTACGCGTACAACGCCTCTACTTTTTTCTCTCTCTCCCGTCCGACTCTTTCGTTACGGAGAGGAAGCCAAATGTGAAAATTGCATCTTCTTGGGGTCCGCATTCATTTAGTCCCGGATTCTTTCCCGGCGTGCGGAGAGGGCGTTCTGGTGGTCTCCTTTTCATTCGAGCGTGATCATGCGTACTACAGTACATGTTGTAAACGAAAGAAACAGATCAACGAGATGATTAGCGGGATTCTTGAAAGAAAGCATGGAGTCGCTCGCCATAAAAAAGTGCATACGCATGGATGGGCGTCGTGAGAAGTGCCGGTCGAAGACTGACGGTTTTTTCGGGTGCGCGTGAGGTCGCCTCTAATATTCTATGCTTCCTTTTGCTTTAGAAACGACTTCTTCATGGATGGGTTATGAGAGGTTTCAATTCAACTATGTAAGTACCTGGAGTAGGAGTGCATCACATGGATGGCATGTACCTGGAGTAGGGGACATTATATATCACAACCCCTTCATCAATAATGATAGTCCACGACGACGAGGAGGATGGATGTCAAACGATACGTTTGTCTTCGGAAAGCTATCGGTTCCAACGCCGCCCGGCCACGCTTTCAGCTGTGGAGTAATCGAGGTTTGAAAATTAACAAGTGTTGAGGGGGTGTGATATCTTACATATGTCATCTACTCTGTGTGCCGCTTTCTTTGTCGTGCTCGGTGAGCGACCGTGTCGCGCGTTGTGCGCCCTCGACTTTGTTAACCGCTAAAGCACTGGAAAGCTTCAGACAGGCCACGAGACGATACTCGTCGAGTTGCTATCACAATAATAAACGACGAGTTGGAATTGCCTGCGATGGCCGCAGCTGTGTAGAATACGAATTTGTAGAGTCTAAGACAATAATTTGGGTTGGATGTGAGCATGATGGAGGGCCTCCTGGGTTTGATTGGAAGGCACAACGCCAGGTTTAACTCGTTTTCCAATCTTTTATTGCACGCTCTGGCCGGTTTCACGGTGTGGTATGAAGGAGTGTGCCTGCTTCTCGCCGTTCATCAATACACAAAAAATGATCGCCTCCGCCTTTCACCAGAAACCTTCCTTCGCTCCAAGTTAGCGTGCAATAAAATTGTTTTCGACAATAGTTCCCGACCAAGAGTTGCCAAAAAACTTCAACTTTTCTCATAACTTTATGCTCCCAAAAAAAGCGGTGTCAGTCTTCAGGTCCCGGCAAGTGTGTGCGTGTGATACCGCTACAAAATGGCCAGGCAAACGTTGCGCACGCGTAGACAAGCGTTCGTATCGCAAGTATGCATTTTGTTTTCGATTTGGTTGGGTCCACAAGGAGCAACCTCCGCACTGACGTCAACAAAAAGCGGCACATAGCAGTCTCTGACGGTGCCCAACTTGCATGTGCAGCGCCTCTCCAGGCTGGCGGATAGAGGGTGCGCTGCAGACACAAAGTGGGACTAGCCCACGCACAGGTACATGTTTGTGGCACCCAGCAGGGGAGAGAGAGAGAGAGAGAAAGAGAGAAAGAGAGAGAGAGAGAGAGAGAGAGAGAGAGAGCGAGAAAGTCGTCGCCACGGACACCCCTCGCTCGAATCCCCGTCCCCGCAAAACGAAGGGAAAGTTGTTTACCAGAACCAATTCACGAGCAAACACCCGCAGCCAGCCGCGGCGCAGACCTCACGCAGGCACCACTCACTCAGAAGAACACCGAAGCGGACTCACCGGTGGCGACCCGGCCCCGCTCCCGGTTGCCAGCAAGTTGGCGAAGAAGCTCCGTGGGTCCGGCGCGTTGGCCGGTGCTTTCCGGGGCGACTGGAAAAACAAACCACCCACGGGATGGAACGAATCGGGTTTCCCACAGCGTAAGGGGACAACACCACGGAAATGGACAGGGGGCGCGAGAAATGGTTCGCTGAAGATCTCAAAGAGATGAAGCCTTGGGACAAGGAAGACCGCAAACCTTGAACAACGTACACAGCAGTCACTTTGCGAAATATGCCGGTCGCAAGAGGCGCCCTGTTTCGGGATCGGCCAAGTGCCGCATGGGCCGAGCGGGGAGCAGCCTACGTCACGGACGCTCGGTACGGTGCGCTGGGGCGCTGCGGAGCTACGAGTAACAGCGCAGCATCACTACACACCGATGTACGCCTGAACGTCGAAAGAGGATCTACTCGTGAAACGACATGACAAAACAAACGCACACACGGCAGGAGCGCTCGAGCGCCGTGCGCACGTGCGTATGTAGACAAGAGCTGCCCAGTACACCAGCTTGTCCACCCTCCCAATGCGCCTCGTCCACCCGCCCCCCTCACCCTCTCCTTTACCTTGGACGCCTTGGCGTGCTTGGCTGCCGCCGCTATCGCGCTGGGCCATCGCGACTTGCTATCCGTTCCGGCCACCTGCTTCCCGAGGCTCGACAACCAAGCCTCCTCCGACTCCACGGTCTCCCCCCCTCCGCCGCCGCCGCCCCCCGCCTCTCCCCCGCCGGCCGCAAGGCCGCCGCCGTCCCCACCGGAGTCGCCGTCCATCCACCCCCCCATGCCGCTGCCGCTAGCCCCCCGGCCGACGGCACCGGGAGGAGGGACCACTACCTCCGCGAATGTTGCGTTGGGTCCCCACGGGGTCTTGTCCGGGGAAAGGAGGCCGTCGATCAAGCGTTTCGAGTCCCAGCCTGCAGGGATGAAGGCTGCGTCGGACGTCTGCGCGGTGTGTCGTTCATTCGATTGGACAGGTCGGCGCATACGTGCGGTGCGCAGTGGTGTGAAGTGAAGGATGGGACGGGCATGGATGGGGGCGTGTGTGTGTGAGCGCGGCGGCGTCTGTTACACCGAAGAGGGGACTTCGGCGACCACACCACTGATCAAGACCCTAGAAGCACATTCTGGCCGGACAAAGCCGGAAGCCTGCCCGAGAGAGAGCCCACGCGCCTGTTGCAGCTACTGTACATGGCTATGCAAAAAACAAAAAATATGCCTTCACGAACGTAACAGAATATCAAAATCGCGGATGAGATGAGAGTGTTGTCCGAAAACACCCAAACATTTTCCCCGCGACCTGGTGATTGCGGAAGCACAGCAGCGCTCGCCGTACTCTTCGCACCTGGCCTTCCTCGGAGAACGAAAACGCGTCAGGGTAGACGCAGCTGAGCAGATATCGGTGCAGCAGGCTGCAGTTCACGCTGTCCTTTGCCGATGTGTAGACCAAGGCCGCTCCGTCTGCACAAGAGTCAGATACGAAGGAGCGGGCGAACAACTAAAACATGCCGTTTTATATCCGCGAAACGTGGGATGGTGAGCCTGTGGTGGCGACAAACGGGTCCCTATGGCCCCACTATTCTTCCCACAGGTCGGAAGAAAAGTACACGAGGCGGTGGTAGTATCTTCTTCAAGCGCTCGAGAGTGGGATGAAAACACGTATGTACCACTGGGTATGCCAAACCAACATGTATCGTGGCAAAGATGACACATATGAAAAGTCGGTTATGACACGCATATCATAAATATGTTCTGCAGGGAGGGGTGTACAATGCTGTAGTTAGGCCGGATCAGAAGATATGGTCAAGGAGGTGCTCATGCAAAAAAACAACAACAAAACCGAGATGGTGTCGCCGAGAATTGGCGGGTCAAATTTGAACAAATATGGGCCAATATGGGCCAACTTCGACCAATTTTTATTAACACAGCACGACCCGAACCAGCGCAAAAAGCTGAAAAGGGTTCTAACCGCTCGTTTTTACACCTAGGCTCACATTTTAGGCAGAATCTGCGGAGGCTCTGCTGGATAAAGTGCAATCGCTGCTGCTGCTCGAACGTCTCGCTCTGCAATGAGTCCGCTTTGCACCCGACCACCACCATGGGCACGCCAAGATTTCTCTCCAGAACTCCGTCGCCCAGGCCCCCGCCAGGAGGGTCGTTGCCGCTGCTGCCTCCCATCCTGCCGCCCCCTCCGCCGATCTCCTTTGCTTTCCCTCTCAGTCTCTCCTTGACGGCGCTACGCAAGTCGTCCTGAGCTCCGACGGAGAGCTGCAAGAGCAGCGAGGTCACGTGCTTTTCCATCGCTGTCGTCCACTGTAGTGGAAAAGTTGCACGGGTGAGCCACGGTAATGTGGGGGGAGGGTGTTGGCAGGCGCTTTGTTGCGAAGATTGCAGCGGTTGTCGCGCCTCGCTGATGTAGTGTGCAAAACAGGTGCTACCACACGCAAAAATGAACGACTGCTTGTGTTGGATGGGTAGCTACTGCTGTGTGCACAATAAAGATGAAAGATTACAGTAATAAACAACTGGGCTAACAACAACATGCTGTCGGAAGAGTTCAAAATCGAAGATAAATTTCAAACGGCGAAATGGAAATTGCATTTCAATCTAACACGACTTCAAACCCACACCGCGAGCAGCAAGAGCCAGTCCCGCAACGTAGCAGCTGAAGCACAAACCTTTTCCACAGAATCCATGACCTCCCAGGGCCGAGACAGGTCAACGGCAACTACCACGGCCATATTCGGGAGCTCCTCCGGTCGAAGCACCGTCTCCAGCAAAGGCTCGAACTCCAGCCCGCTACACGACCAAACGCTCACGCGGGGCGGCGACTCATCCCGCTCCGCTCCCTGCTCCGCAGGGTCCGCGGCGTCCAGGTAGGCGTACGACAGGACGGGGTGGAAGGCCTGCCCCGCGATGGGGTCGCCGCCGCCGCCGCCGCCACCGCCGCTCGCCGAAGCTCCTGCCGATGCCGCACCCCCGCCGCCGCCGCCCGCCCCGCCCTCGGGACCCTTCTTGTCCGGGGTCGGCGCGACGACGGCTGAGGCAGCCGCTGCACCGCTGCCGGAAGGGTTGTTAGTAGAGGCGGATCCCTGCCCCTCGAGGAAGGTGTCGAGGAGAGACGACTTGCCGCAGCCCTTGGGGCCGACGAAGACGAGCGTGCTGGAAGGAAGCCGGCTTCTCCGCATCGCGTCTCGCAGCATGGTCTCCCAGAGGTTGGCCGTGGCCGCCGCGGTAGTAGCGCCCACTGTTGATGCTGACGCTGGCGCTGGCGCGTGCTTCTGCTGCTTTGCAACGGCCATGGTTAAACGCGACACACGCAGCAGTAGTGTACATCTGTGTCCAATGCCGGCTCTGATCGCGCAGGCCAAGGGCGAATCTCCGATAATTGCATTGACAAAAGCCTGCCGAAGGTGTCGAAACCTCAAATCTCCGCTATGTATGCGTGTGTCCCGCTATGTCCCGCAGACAGCACTTGGTTCTTCAACAGCAACCGCCGCGATGAGATGGTGAGATAGATGTCCAGGACACCCCTGTTGTCTGGCGTGAGGAAGCGTACTCTAACAAGAGCAAGGGGCGGCCAAGGTGGGAGAGCTTATGAGTGGTGCTACCACGTAGTTTGTGTTTGGGTAATTGTCTCGCTCAGACCAGCTCACAAGTGCACAAGCGGATGCAAGGTTTTCACCAGCTCTCAGGCAGACAATGGCACACGCCAGACGCACGATCCTCCTGTTTTTGCGCAGCAGTAGCAACCCACGCTGTTGCATGAGCACAAACTTCCTGCGATGATACGAGGTTGTTTTGCACATGTCCAACAGACAGCAAGATCGAGGTCTCCCTAGAAGACGTCTGGAAATGTCAACGCTCTTCCTTCTAGACTGCTGTGCATAGTCCACGGAATAGATGCACTTCCTGCCGAAGGGTCCAACCTTCACCATACGCTTGTGACCTTGTGGAAAGACGCGGATACGTAGTACCATTTAACCTCCGTTGTGCGGGTAGGCCGTAATCTCCACCCGCTGTTTTCCTACTGACTGCTCCTAATAGTTTGTCGATTATGGACTATTACGGTGGCACAGAAGTAATGGGAGCAAATCAACAGATATGCGTTTCGGCTTGTAACTTTCGCAATACGATGCGCAGCACAGCATACGATAGCACAAATTGACGACAGGGCAAAGGCGGTCACAATGAAAAAATAACAAAAAAAAAATATTGAAAGTTGCTTGAGATATGGCTTGTCATGTATCCGAACAGAGATTCGAAATCGGAAAAAGTGCGCAGAAAAATCCGGCCAACATGTATCCCCACTTGTCGGCCTGTACCTCATTTTTTCAAGCGCCTGTCGGCATACAGTAGCGTAACACGCTTCCATGACGGAAGGCGGTCAATACGCAAGAAGATAAACATGAATGCAGATGACGTGTGGCAAGCTGCATCCGGGGTAAAACTTGTTGACATTTGAATAATTTGGATTTTTTTTTCATAACTGCAGCAGCTGGAAGCAGGGACGCAACCCCCGCTCACAGCAATCACATATGTGTGCTGCTGGAACATGGCACACCCAGTGCATGGGCGTGTAGCAATCGATCACAAGACTGGAAAAAATCTTATCATGGTTCAACCTCGTCGCTGCCATCACCCCATTCTGCGCTTTCCTGCTGGATCTGCTCCCCTACCCCTTCCTCGACATCACCCACGGGCGACACATCATCTTTGTCGTACCCGTCCGGTTTCTGCAGGTTGCCTATCTTACCCGAAAGCCCTGCATCACGATCCCTGACCCACTTATTCATCTCTCCAATGGCGTGTTCAACCAGCTTCGAACAATTGGCTGCCTTCCACCCCCCCTCCTGGCCTGACCACTCCTTGTCCCCGTACCAACCTTGACGAATCTGCACCCACACCTCCCGCATCTTTCGCTTCAACTCAAAGTTAAGGCTGACGTACTGCTTGCCATGCTGC